GGTATTAATGATAATGTTCTAGCTGATACCCCAGCATGCATGTACTGCAGCCAGGCAGTAAAGCTATTAAAATTAATTTTTTCATTGTTGTGTGGGTGGATTGGGGGGGGCATTCTCATAAATTACAAAATAAAATGTATAAAAATATTTTTCTTTTGTGTATATCTGTATGCTTTAGGTCAGGGGTCCACAAAACTTTTAGACAACCAAGCTCCTCATATAATTCTTGATCCCTCATAGATCCCCAAATGTGTACAAAAGATATCAATGAGAATTATTTTTCTATTTAACCCCTTAGCATTGCACTTTGAGAGCTGACATTTACAAGGCATGTTGAATGCTAAAGGGTTAATAGTTGATTTCTTTCTTTCTCATGCCATCATTCCACACAGCAACAGAAGTGGATCCTGAGATCACTGCTCTACCACTAAAATACACATAGAAGTTGCTGACGTGATATTTACGATTGACTTTCACACGTTTTTCTTTAGTTTATGCATGAGATCTACTTTGCATTGTTGGTGGACATTTACATGATCCTGATATAACAAGTATATGAATATATTAACTGTTGTGTAAAGAATTTGTCAAAGACTTGACATAAGTTTATACTTAAAGAAATCTTATGTCTTCACATAAGTTTATGCTTAAAGAAATCCTGTTTATAGCAACCACTTAAAGAATAGTGTTTGTTATCAGATGAACTTGAGAACTGATTTGTTCTTGCAATGTTAACATGAGGTACAGAATGTCAATTTTGATGACAGTGTTGAGCAGATACTTAAGAGCAGTGGTTCAGTTTTAGTCTTATCAGCTTATGATTCTGACTTGTTTTATTTACTGGGGATTTTTATACTGCTGTGGTTGGATGCACTTAAACTCTGTATAAAATGTTTATACATTCTTTGGGAGCAAGCCAAAAAAACAAGATCCTTTAATATCCAACTATTTCTTGTATGTACTCAAGGTTGAAATATGACTATAATTACCTCATTCATATATATATATATATATATATATATATATATATATATATATATATATATATATATATACACACACACAGACATATATACATACAGAGTGTGATAGATAAATTGATGTCTAAATTACGAAAAAATGAAAATAACACTGACATCTCATTTTAATACATATATTTACCAAAATTACACAAAATTATCTTGAAATGCTAAAGAGTAAATTTATTCAATAAAATCACCATTAGCTTCAACCACAGCCTCCAGATGACTTCAGAATCTCCTGCAACTCTTCTGGGCAGTCTCCTTCTTTAAGTTGGTGAATGCTGCCATCATCTTTGCCTTCAGTTCATCTTTGGTGTTACAAGGAATTTTGTTGCTCTTTCACTCAACTGCACCCCACACATAATAATCAATGGGTTTGCAGTCTGGGGTGTTAGGTAGCCAGATATTAGGGTTGATGTGATTGGAGAAATTGTCTCACAGTCATGACTGGGTTCTCCTGCTTGTGTGGCATTGTGCAGAGTCCTGTTGCCAGACATAGTACCTTTCAGCAGCTACCCTCTTCACCCAGGGCAGCACTACACCCTCAAAGCACTTGATGTAGGCCTCACCAACAAATTTGTGAGTTCTTTTCTTATCAGAGTTAGTTTTCCAAGCTGCCATACCTTCGTAATCACCATTAGACTCATCCAACTCTTTACAATTCCTCTGCATCATCCTCAGGTTGACACCCAAACACTCTGAAATGTTTACGTTGGAGCTTCCAGTGCGAATACCAAGCAGTACAACATGCTGTTTCCAAATTTCTGGTGGAGTGAATTGCATCATGATGGTCATTTTCTCACAGACAGTGCCCAACTGATCCTACTGTACTGTACAGTCGACAAAATTAAAAACAAACACCATGCATGCAAGAAATTAAAAATGGCAACAATTTACCCATCACACCCTGTATCTAGGGGGATGTATGTGTGTGTGTGTATATATATATATATATATATATATATATATATATATATATATAGAGAGAGAGAGAGAGAGAGTGACACACACACACACACACACACACACAGAGGAAAGTAAGGTTTTTTTTTTATATATCCCACATGGGTAATATATATAGGAAAGAGAATTTGAAAATGCAAATGGAGACCTGAAGAATATTTCTTTAGAAACAGACAAAACAGATCATGGCAAAACCATACATCTCTCCACCTCAATTTAACTTTTGAAAATCATAGAACTATGAAACCAGTAAAGTAGCTCTACATAAATATTCTTAAAGTCTCCAGTTGCATTTTCAACTTCTTTTTCCCATATATACAATGTGAGGCAAAAGTTGCACACCATAGGGGTTAATGGATAGGTTGAATAGGTCCTGTTCAGTGGCCACTGAGGTCAACAGACCTCATACCCTATGATTGTTTTGTGGGGATATTTGAAATCACTTGTTTATCAGTTGCTTCCAAGAAATATTGAGAAACTTAAAGAAAGAATTAAATATGAATGCAGTAAAATGGCAGAAGAAACTCTCTGATGTGTTAATGAATCATGCAGGCACAGAATTGAAATGTCTTTTCAAAAAGGAGGAGGACATTTTGAACAGAATGTATAGCAATTAAATAACTAGTAAATAAAATTTTCATATATAATTATACTTTTAATAAATTATAGCATGACTTTTGCCCCACCCTGTGTGTGTGTGTGTGTGTATATATATATATATATATATATATATATATATATATATATAATTGAATGAACATCTGTAGGAGGAAGATGAAATACAATAAATGCCACTTATAGTTCTATATTAAGATACAGAAATGCTTAGCTTTAAATTTTTGACACCCCTCTGTATATATAGATGCTTAACCTAGTCAACCTTCATCTTTCTCTCACTTTTGTTTTTATTTTTGTTGTTATATTTTTGTAATATCCCACATTATAATAGCAGTAGTTTCATTAGAAAAGGATATATCTTGTATGATCAGGGATTTAAATTTACCATGGAAACCTCTGAAATTAATGCACTTTCAATATAATTTCACCTTATTAAATTACTATCTATTTTAATTGAAGCTGCATTCTTCAAATCAAGATTATGGTCAGGATTATTACAATGAAGGATTAACGCATGGAGCGTATTGTTTAATAAAAGATCTTTTTTTGTGTTTATATAATCTTTTATTTAAATTTGTAGTTGTTTTACTTTGATATTTACAGTCTGTTTTATAGATTTCTCCTTCAGGTTTTGGCTTGTTGTTGTTTAGTTTTGTTACAGGTTAAGTCAGGCTTAGGCCTGCTGCTGTTAACATGTAACCCAGTAGAACCTGCCACATGCATTTCTGCTTGTGAGGCGGGTGGTATGTCAACCTGCAGGACAAAAAACAAGACCTATCAAAGGACAGATGAGCTTTTTATAGGAGCCAATGCCCAACATACATACACATATCATCACTTGATAAGACACCAGAAGTGTCAAAACAAAATTGCAACTTTTGTCGTGAACTTATAACATGCATGTTATAAATTTGAATAAATATTATTAGCTCTACTCGGTACTGAGCACTCTTTTAAGAATAGTGTTTTTGGTTATTGGAAATTCATTCCAAGTGTACCCGCCCTGTATTTGTGTGTGTGTGTGTGTATATATATATATATATATATATATATATATGCTAGAATGAGGTCACAAGCCTTGAATGGCAACCTTCCTAGAGATGGTATCACAAAAAACACTCGGTGTACTTAGACACCCATGAGTGTCTAAGTTGGGTGTCAGGAAGAGCATCTAGCCATGTGAAACCTTGCCTCAAATCATTATGGCAAGAGATTCCTCTGATGGGCAGAACCTACCTTGTTATGTGCAAGATTAAACCCAAACCTGCCTCACCAAATAAATATGGTGATGATGATGATATTTAGTTTTGTGCTAATTAAATCTCTTATTGTTTATAAAGTAGTTGCCACAAATTAAGTTTAGATAAATTCTTTTTGATTATCATCATTATTTAGTAGGTAGTATTATATACCTTTTATTTCATTTTGTCATTCACTTACCAACTTTTAATTTAATATATAGATTTGTATATCAAATGTTCCATATATATCCCATTGTTAGTGGCATGTCACAATAGTAAAAAAAAAAAAAAAAAAAAAAAGTAAATGTATATGTAAGCACTTGATCAAATTATCTCTCCTATAACTACTTTACTGCCCAGGCAGTAGTACCAGTAAATGGCTGTTATGCCCATTGTCAGTATTGATAGAGTCCAATCAAACAAAAAAGAAATCTTAAACTTCAGTAATGGTGGGGATTCTATCCTATCATTTATGGATAGCTTCTTTTATGTGCTTTTTCCTTTCTGAATGTGGGTGATCATGGCTCTCCATAATTTCCTATTTTTTGTAACTCTAAGCAATGTGTGTCCTTTTACTATCCATTCCAGTTCCTGTTCTTCCATCCATTTACACAAATTCCTTTACACTCAATATGTCCTGTGAGTGTCAAATTCTCCGCATCTTCATTCCTCATTATATGTTCCAAAAATTCCACCAGTCTCTTTCTGATACTAAGTACAAGTATCTTTTTTGTATCCATTTTCTTGAAAACTTCCTCATTGATTATATGCTCTGTCCATAGTATTCTTAGCATCCTTCCATAGAGCCCTGTTGTCTCCTCTTCTGTGCGGAAATTGTCCAGCATTCACTGTCATATAGTACCACTGATATTGCATTACAGTTCAAAATTCTTTTTCGTTGTTTCTAATGAAATTTTCCCGTTTCTTAATACTGTGATGAATTGTAAAAGGAAGCATTTAAAACTTTAATGTTTTTTTATTTGGTTGATGCAAAGGATTTGAAATATAATCATTTGTTTTAGAGTTTCACTCAGCATGGATAACTCTTCTTTTTTTCTTTAATGAGTTTATCTCTAACATATATTTCTGTTGTATATAAATTTTATTTTATTGTTTTATTGATTTTTAGGGCTTCACACCACTTCACTTAGCCTCAATGCATGGACATGATGAGGTTATTGAACTTCTTATCCTCACATACAGTAAGTAGATCTGAATATTTCTTCTAAAACTAATCCTATTATATAGTCTATATATTAGCATATATTATGGTTAATATTATAGTCAGTGTATTAAATATTATTATATTGTCAATTATATAGTTAGTGTATTTATTATTATATAATCAGTACTATAGTCAATATTATGTAAAATGTTGCATTCTCAAAATGTGGTTAAGTGAGGTTCATTTTAATTCAGAAAAATATTCTTGTGTACCAAAAACAATGGCCAGCTTGATTAAATTGACACCTTCAATTTTTTCTCCTCCCCTAGCAAAGTGCGTATTTGATATGGCATGCTTATTATCTCAAATAATTTTCTCTGCAGCATGATTATTTTCTTCCACTTATATAAAAATTCCTGGCAGAAAATTTATATAAACCAGCATGTTTATTTCACAAATTAAAAAATTCTCATATTCATGACTATTCCAGATGGTACTAGTATTTAGAAAATAAATTGCTATATATGACTAATTATACTTTCTTTTTTTCTTTTTTTCTAAATGAAATTAAATTTATAAATATTTGCTGGTATCTTAGATATTTGCATCTTTATATAACAACATTTATGTTTTTTTAAATTACTCTTTTGTGCCAAATATAACAGCCGATATGATTAAAGTATTTCCTTTAATTCACTCCCTGCCCAGGATGGTTCTTATTTGGTACAGAAAGCATATAACATTTCAAATAACTCTTCTCCACAGAACAGTTATTTTATTCCCTGTTTATTAAACTTGCATAAAAATTACCCAAAGTTTATTTGAACTGGCACGCTTAGTTTATAAGCTGAAAATTTCCTACCTGAATGTCTATTTCAAATGGCACTTGTATTTGGTACAAAATATCATAGCAATGGCAGTTATTATATATTTTGCTAACAATCTCTGATTTGAGAAAAAGGTTCCAGAAAAAACAAAAATACAGAAAATAATGATTGACATTGAATTAAAATTTTTGCAGTCAAGCTTGACTAAAAAGCAAGAAGCTGAAGAGGGTTGCATAAAGTAAGCACTGTGATAGAAGAAACTCTTAACATAGACCTTTCGGTTACATCTAGCCATTGCAACTGTATAATGATGAGACCTTGCCACCAATCTTGTACTATGCTTAAATTTATAGAGTACCATAGAGGAAAGTTCATCAGAATAATTACCATGAATGTATTTATAAAAAAAAAAACACTTGGAAGCTACATTATAGCAGTGGGAAAGTGACTGAAGCCAAGATGCCAGATAAAGACCAATGACATTATAGATTCTTATCAAGGATCTCTAAATATATATCAGGAAGACCAGACAGATGTGGCAACAATATTCAATGCATAAACAAATGATAGGCTTATAAATATGTAAGATAAATTCTGGTGAGAAAAATTGTCTAGCACAATACAGCAAACCAACTTTCCTAGCAGCAGACCTAGCTATTCAATATGATCTTTCCATTTCTACCTGTATATTTTTGTTTAATATTTTATTCTCTAATTTTCTGTTTCTTTCTCTATACCAGATCTTTCATAATCCCTCCTATTTATCAGCAGTAGCCAGTAGAACAATAAATGAATGCTTCAGAGTTCTCTTACCAAAATCTAAATGACCAAATATAAGATTTTATTTTTGAATTCTGTCTTTGTTGGGCTGAAAACTTTTCAGTACACCCTCATATAATCAATAATTTCTTTCTTCATTCACTAATCATCTTCCATCTATAAACCTAGTTATTTGGGAAATTAAGACAATGATTCTGTGACTATTATGGCACAGCAAATCAAATAATAAACTGATTTTTTAATTGATTTAAATTTTTAATTGATCATTGCTGCAAAAAGACAGAAGATGCAAAAATATAATCATGTAGCAAAAGGATAAACAATGTTAGTGTAGGCTAGTAAGTTTATTTTCTTTGTATTATTTTACACTGTTTTCTTCAAACTAATGTCCTCAACCTGCATCTTATCATCACAGTATTTCAAACATTGTTCCCTCCAAGACTTCTTCAGATGTCTCTTATAGTTGGTAACCTTGTGAGAATTTCCAACCCAACCCATTATTCAATCAAATAGATTGTTTTCATTTCATTATGCATTCCAGAGGATGGCCTATATCCGTTATTTCCAACTATGAGACACATCCTAATGAATAAAAGTATTAATTAAATAAGTTAGAGTTACCCGACAGTTGTGAGTTCAGTCTCTGTGTTAGGTATTATAGAAAAGTTATCTGCTTCAGTGGAAGACACAACCAAAGTTTCAAGAACAAATTAAGTATATATGTGATATCCTCTGACATGAAATTGAGAACAGTCTATCTCTATGGATTGAATAAAGAGTTCAGTTCAGAATTACCTGATGAAAGCTGAAAAGTATAACAGCTGAAATATTCTGACAATAAAAAGCAAGAAGTCAGTGTATAATAATCATTCTTCATCTCAAAAATTCAGACAATAGTTCACCCTGGGTATGACAATAAACTACATCTGGCAGCAAGGCCTCTGATCGGGAGATTGGAGGTTTTGGGCAGTATGGAACCACCTCTTAATTGCTATCTTAATTTTCCATGTAACTAGGCTTATAGATGAAAGGGGATTAGTGAATGAAGAAATTATTGATTATACAGGCAAATAGTGAACACTCAAACAAAAATCAACAGTACATTTTTATAATAAAATGACCAACAATATATTTTTATAGGATAATGACAATCAGTGCAACACTAAAATATAAAAATACATTTTTATAGTAAAATTTCCAACAATAAATTGTATGATCTACAAAATATATATCTAAAAAACATATCTTTACTCTGAAAGTATAAAATTATGTACAAAATATTTAGATTTTGGCATTAAATAACCCATAGAGGTTGATATACCACCAAACAAAATCAACCAAACAACCAACATGAATGAACTTTCATGACATGAGTTCATATAATAATCTGCAATTTCTTAGATCAAACAGTATTCCAAAATATGACTTCAACAAAATTACAACTTAAAATACATAACACCATCTATAGTAATCATGTCCACACAAACATTTGTATACACAAAAGCTGAGTATCATCTACTATATATTCAGTTGTGAAAGCAGAATAACATATATCATATTTTTATTATTTCCAAGCTCCCAAGAAAATTAAATTTCAGCATTAAATGACTCATAAGGAGTTGATATGCCATTAAACAAATTGATCAATCAGACAATAGTAATTTTTGTTTCATTTTTTTAATACATTTCAAGATATTATTTAGTAGGAAGACTCTTTTTATTAATAGAATAATTATATTGAAATCACCATCTTGCATAATGACTCAGTCATTCTCAGCCTAACTAAGAAGCTCTTCAAAAAGTCTGTTTGGTCATTTGATCAGATTTTGAGTCATGGTTAGTCTAAGAACTTTCAACATCTACTTAATTTTTTTTTATCATTTACCACAAGTAAGGTGATAATGTCATTAAGATACAACAGGCTATTGAGAGTTCAATTCTGAACAGGAAATCAGTTCTGGATAAACTGGAATTTTCTCATTTATATATTAAAAAATTTTACATTATCAATCATTTCTTTTAATAGATTATTAGGATAGGAGAGAAATTCTCTGCTTTGTCTTGTCTTTTTATCTGTACAAATTTAAATAATTTTACAAATTTTAATTTGTTTTCACGTATAAGATTTATTAAATGTTTGATATAGCAATAATCAATTAAATTAATTTCTTAAAAATTGACATCTTCCATTTTTCTTTATTTTTTATAATCAGAGGCCAATCCTAATCTGAGAGATCACTGTGGAAAAAAGCCAAAGCAGTATTTGAGCAGTTCTGCATCAGCAAAATGTCAACGTAAGAAATCTTTGGACAATTATCAAATATCACCTCTTCGTAATATACCCTATGGCAGTATTAAGGATAAAATACAACACCTTACTCTGGCTAGTGGATCTGACAGCAACTTTTAAGTTGTTAAAAAAGAAAAAAATTCCAGAGTATCAAACATTAAAAAGTACTTTTGAAATTTGTATTAAACAGTAAATTTGATATATTACATGCTTGAATCAATACTTTGCTTGCTAAGAATTTATTATGATAGCTATTTAATTCAACCATATTTTCTCCAAACAAAAATTAACTTTAACCTCTCGTGAAGCTTTTTTTTTTTTTTTTGCAATGTACGTACAAGAAAGATAACTGCGAGATTGATTATTCGGTTACTTCCCTTTGTTAACTGACTGACTCAACGCCACCTATCTCGGTGGTGTTGGTTGAATTATCTTACCATTTAACAACGTATTTCAAACAAAGATAAACATTACTAATAAATACATTCAATTTACAGGTTTGGTCGAACATTTACTCAAAAATAATTATTAGTGTTTAAGACAATTGGTATCTTTTCTTAGAAAAGTTTTCTAGAACCAATTCCGAATATAAAGATAATAAATTTAGAAGAAATCTAAAGTACAATAGGACCTTAATTGTCAACTGCGAGACCCTCATCATTCCCAGATGGACAACCACAATTTTTATAGTTATTAACAAAACTTTGATACTAAAAATCTTCAAAAATGTCAAATATTAACCAAAAAAAATAACCGGTCATTTTAAATCAAAATCCAAGTCATTTGATCTTGTGAGGTAAACTCAAATTAATTTTTTTTTAAATCTCATTTACTGACAACTGAAGTGTTTTTGCCAAATTTCATTTTTTTAATTTGGTTTGATGAGTAAGCCAAATGTTACCAATTACAGAAAATATTGACTTTCTAATAGTCATATTCTGTGTTAGTATTATTTTTTCTTAAGCAAAAACTTATGAAAAAATGTTTCATTATTTTTATCAAAATAGTGTTAATTTTATATGAAGATTTTTAGCCTTACCTAGTATACAGTATGGTTCACTATTATTATCTGTGCATTTCAATGTCACTGATTGTCTTAGAATCTGTCTATATCTTAATCTGTAATTGATTTTTATTTATTTTCTTCATAAGTTTGTGTACTGTAATAAATGGTTAATATTTTTGTTCAGCAATTCCACAGCAGCATTCAAAATAATAGAAAATATTTGAAGAAGCGTCATTGAATTTTTCACTTTTTGTTCAATTCTATTTTATTATATTTTTATTTTTTATTGTTTTTGTTTTGTTTTTTGTGTGTTTTTTTTTTAAATTTTATAATGTTGTACATTTAAATAATGTAATTGGTTAAAGTTTATTGGAACTGTTAAACTTTCATATCCAAATGTTAATCTGCATTGTATGAGTAATATATATATAAACGGTGGGGAGACAAGATAAACCAAAAACAGACCCCTCTTTTTGGGAACATATTTGTATTCTGATAGATAGCTTTATGCAGAAACAACCTACTTCAAATTGGATTCTGACATATATCTATCAAAAGAAGGCATGGTTATGAGCGTGTTGCTATCACGAGTAATGGATTTCTTCAAGGAAATAGTTTTAAGAACAACACCTCTGACACTATGTGTCTAAGATATATAGATGATACCTTCTTACTCTGGTCCTATCAAGGAAAAGTGTATGTATTATTGGACCTTGTAAAATCAATACGACTTTCAATGCAGTTTACAATGGAAAAGGGGCAATATAAACTAGATTTTCAGGATATACTTAATAACTCACACAGTGTATGAATTCAAGACATACATTATAATATAATATTCCAATCTATCTATAGCCACTGTTGCATTTCCTTTGTTAACTGGCAGTATGGTTATGCTGGTTTCATTCTGCATCATTTTGATAGCTATCATATATTGTTTGCTCTGGGAGGGTTAACTTTCTCCAGTACTTGTCTTACTATCTACCTAAACTCATCAGTCTGCTTTTTGAAGCCTGCCTCTCTAATTAGAACTATCATATCTAAGTATAGAAATTGCTTGATGGTTGTAGTGGGATTGAGACTTCTGTTTACTCAGAGCTCCTTAACTGACAACTGTTTTGACAAATTAATGGTAAACCTTTATTGTACTGCATACTTTAAACTTTCAACTGCTTTTGCTTCTGTATTCAGCATGTCTTGATCATAGGATGTGTCCAGATCTTACTTGGTTTCTGTTCAAATCCAATTTTTCTTGGTCTAGGGAAGGGGTCAGCAACCTACGACACATGTGCCACGCCAAGCAATTTCCAATAGTACACAGCTGCAAATGACATCACAAAGTTTGAACCAATACCAACTACAACACAAAGAAGATATTTAGCTGTTTCAATTTTAATATATACTAAAGTATATATACTACATATTACTATATAAAATATATTATAGAACAGGTATATTGACCATGACGTGTATAAAAAATACATATGCTGTTGGTACATTGAATGATTTTAAAAATCTAAGTTGGCACATAGTTATCAAAAGGTTGCTGACCTTGGCATAGGGAGTTTTTATCCAGTTGGAGAGTTCACATTGATGTTCCATAGAACTCTTATAATGGATACTTTCCCTAGCAACGACATGCCTTTTCTCTTTCTGCAACTAATTTATGTTTTTCTAGAATTGACCAATTTTTTGATAGTTAAGCCAGGTAGGATTAGCTTCAGGTCTCTGAGTCTATAGATGGAAGTCAAATAGTCTGACAGTCATGCTAGTTTGTGAGAGAGTTATTCTGTGTCCATTTGTGTATCCATACCAATCTGATAATATTTGTCTGAATTTTATAGTCTAAACATATCAGTGTATAATAATGATAATTCCTTGTCTCAAAACTTCAGTTTTTTTAAAAATAAATTCCAGAAATATGTGCTTTAATTTTTTACACTACATTTTTCTGGGAGAATTTTTTAAAAATTTATACCTCAATGTTTCTTTGTAATACATGTTAACAAATATTTCATGCACAACTCTTTCTGTTTATCTTTTGTTATTCTGTTGTGATATTTCGCAATAGAAATCAAGTGTTTAAAAGATTTGTTTTTATTCATTTAAATTATAAAATATATTTAAAGTTACTCATAGATGCAATCAAGTCCTTTTTTTATTTACTAGAAATCTTATTTTTAAATTTTCAACTAAATGGAAATTATTGATAACTTATAAGAAGTGCAATACTCAAGGCAAAGTGATAAATACCAGACTTCTTATCTAGACTAGTTTTACCAAAGAAAATGTCTGCAGCAATTTACTTCATATTTGCCTAGGACATTTCAATGCTTCCTCTTGAAATTCAAAGCTTTATCATCTGTCTATATCTCTGAGATGTGGTATTGTAACTGTTTACACTGTTGTCCTCATCTTTATTGCCACATTCACATTTTGGCCATTGTACACTGCAACCTTCTTCAGGTGATATTTGTTGAAATTTCAAACCAAACAATCTAAACCAGACACCACCCCACTGTGGATTAAATAAGTATTTAGTTCAAAATTACAACAAATATCACCTGAAGAAGGCCAAAGCATACAACAGCCAAAATGGCGTGAATATGACAATAAAAATCAGGACAACAGTCCAAACAATGTAAATAGTGTCAAAGCTTTATATTAACAATTTAGCAACAAATGTAAACCTATACAAATATGTAACAAAAGACTTCTTTCACCAATTTGTGTCATCCATTGTTTGTAATTTTGATGCAACCATTATTATTATTATTATTATTATTATCTTTGATTTCTGTTGTATACACATTTCCTTCTGGATCCCAACCAGAGACCTAAGGTCAGAAATGGCTTCATGATATTTTCTACTGATCGTTTGTGTAAAAAAAAAAAAGAAATTATTGTTATTATTATTTCTGTTGTATACTCATTTCCTTCAGGCTCCCAACCAGAAACCTAAGTTTAGAAATGACATGACATTTTCCACTGAACATTCTTGTAAAAAAAAAAATAACTAAAAGTAAAACAACCTGAGATCACACATTTTGCAAAGATAAAGCTCATCATAAGGTGGGGCTGTACCTGTCTGAACAATGTTTTGTATTTTTTTAAGTCATGGGTGACCAAGGAGATCCCTTTAATGATAATAATTTTATCATTATTATTAATATTCATTTATTTATTTGTGCTTGCTTATATATTTTATTTTATACAATGTCATTTTCTTTTGTAATGTAATTGTGGATGTGTGGTGGTGGTGTAATATATAATAACTGGGAATGAGAAATTGGAGGGCCAAGTTCAAATTCCAGTCAAGTTTGTTACATTCACTTACATGCATATACTCTTGGGAAAGGTATGAATCCATCCCAGCTATGAGTAAATAACAGAGCAGACTGGGGCCTATAGCATTGCTTGGCAACCAGTCTTGGAGAAGGGAAACTCTGAAATCAAACCAACTTTGTGAGATACATATTTGGCCCCCTTTTTTTCCCCCTATCTTAATTGATTTTGCAATAGTCAGGTTGAGAAATTGGGACAATAGCAGCAGTTTTGTTTAGTATAAATGTTTATCAAGAAAGATCTGATTATTTTTATTTATCCAATCAATCTATAATTAATAGCCACATATCTTTCATAATGAACATGTAACACACAGCATTTTATATAGTTTCTATATAAACTAGCAAGGAAAAAAGACATACAAGGTGATGCTGAAAAGATCTTGAGCTGACCAAAAAAATGATCTAAGGTCATAAAATGTATAAACTAAAGTATGCTTATGCTTAGAATTGGAAAGTGTTGAAATTTCTAAGACATAATCAGGAAAGAGGGCTTGGAGAATCTGATTCTCCCAAGATATACTGAAAGCAAGAGACACATAAGAAAGTAGTGAGTAATTTTCCTAATGAACTTGTATAAATGGATAGCAGAAAATGGACTGGGAAAGAGAATGAAAAGACAAACCTAAGAGCCAGAAAGTATAGAAAGTTGTG